TAATTGTTTATATGTAGAAATGGATTGAATTTATGGAGGGAAAATGGAAAGAGAAAATTGTGAAATGGAGGGGATTATGTTATAGGATCATCATGTCTTCTTCTTAGATTATAAAGAATTTCCAACGCTTATTTTTATGATTTTTGGTCATTTAAGATTTGTTTTTTCTTTTCATGTTAAGACACAAGCACAAGCTCACCTTCTCAACAAAATCACAGATCAAATGCAATACTATCGATTGCTAGCTAGTGTGTTTGGGATGATTTTTAAAAGCCAATTTTTCTACCAGCACTCTCGAAAGAATTACTAATTTGAGAACGTGTTTTCATTTTTTATTTATGTTTATTCTTTTTTAATCAAAGAAAAAACAAATAATTGCATGTTCAGCTCCAACAACCTATAGATCCAAGAATAATAAATCAATAAGTTTATGAATGTTTTGGAACAAATAAAAAATGAGAATTTGTTGTTTTCAAAATTTCTATAAAAAAAAATTAGAAATAAAATATATAAATAATTGTCAAAATGTTTGGATTTCTGAATAAGAACAAGAAACCAAATCTTCTTTAAGGTGCGCTCAATATAGTTTTTTTAATTGCTTAAAATTTAATTTCTTAAGAAAAAAATAGTTATCCAAAAGTGCTTAAATTAAAAGATATACCAAACTCAGTGAAACTTGATTTGTAGCAAATAATTTTTTTCTTATAATTGCAATTACATAATTGTTCAAATAAGTGTTTAAAATACAATATTTTAATTTTTCTTTCTCTAACCATGTAAAACTATCCATTACATAGCCGAGAATTAAGGGGAGCTCTCCCCAAAGAGCTACCTTTGAGGAGATGAGAATTTGCAATGGACTAATTAAATAAATAGAAGAAACCAAGGGGCAAAAAAATTGCGAAATAAATAAAATTTGGCAAATGGACTATCAAAAATTATTTTCTAAAGACAAGTACATTAATTAATTTTCAATAAATTCGTCAACTAATTCATACCCTTAAGCTTTGAATTTCGTTATTCCTTATTAATAATCCTATCTTCAAAATTTCTACTATTACGAAATGGAGTATCTCCTCCATTTTTCTCGTGCTATGACTTGACTAACACTAAATAAAAATAGTATTCACACTCTCATTGCAAGTAGTAAAAATTTTCCCTCCTTCAAACATTCTGCAACTATCGATATTACTTTAATTCGTCGAATTATGCATTATTATTTATGTAGGATACGAAAAGCTATATATATCCCATTTCTCCTCATTTTCATCGTCACTAACATAAACGTACAACATATATCATATCATAAAATAAATAGAGATGAAGACTTAGTATATAAGTATTTACATGAAAATTTATTATATTTCTGTGATTTTAGAAAGTTGTGGAGAGTTATTGAGGATTTTGGTGGGCAAGAACATCGAGAAGAGAAATGGCCTCTGGAATGCTGAGTTCAAGCCGAAACTTGGGGCCATCATAATGGTGAAGAATTGGTCTGAATGAATCTTCTTCCAGTGGCTCACATATTTGCCTTGTTATCACTCTCACCTGCACCATGTTTAATTTATATACTTTTAACCCCAAATTGGCTCGAATCGAATCAACGTTATAAGTTTTGAAAGTATAAAGATCAAATCGTTATGAACTAAAAGTTGATACTAAATTGTTACTAAACGAAAGTACAAGAACTAAAAGTGTCTATCAACTACAAAGACTAAATCGTTATAAATTTTAAAACTACGGATACTAAATTGTTACATAGTAAAGTTCAGAATTAAATTGTTATCAATTTAAAAGTACCATAGCCAAATAGTATAAATTAAGTTTAAAGACTGAATCATTATTTCAATAAAAGTATTGAGACGTGTACCGTTTTTTAACCAAAATAAAAGTATAGTACCTAAATTTGTAATTTAATTTCCATAAACTCTTCTTGAGTAGAAATAATATGTGAAATTCACATATAGTCTGTGAATTTTCAAATTTGTGTCCCATGAATCTTTCCCCTTTAAAAATCTAACAAGTTTATAAACCTTTGCTTTTATGTCTCTATAAATTCTTTTATGTCTCATGAATCTTTTCAAATTTCAATCTTATATTTAATAATGCTTGACATATTTTACGTGTTTAAATATCGGATGGATTAGACACAAAATTTAAAATTTGTGACTATATTAGATATAAAATTTAACTTTTTATCTGGTAGATTCATTCATTTTAACATATAAATCTATGACCTTTTAAAGTTTAGAAATATATTAGACATGAACCTGAAAGTTAAAAAAGACTAAATCTGTAATTTAATAAAAATAAAACTAAATTTCAAAAAATTTAATTTTTTCATCTAATTTGATTAAGAATTTATCTGAGTTCTTTTCCTTTAAATTTTATAATTAGAGAGGAAATATTAATTGACATGTACCTGAGCAGGAAAACGAGATTCCCCGGGGCATTTCTTGTCCTCCCAAGCCGTTGGATCGATATTCGTCCCTCCGAAGCTTGCAGCCTGACATGACGTCATTAAACTACTTAATTATTTCACTTCTTATTTTCCATTAAACTTTGCATTTAATTTTTTTTGGTCATTTGCATAAATAGAATAAAATAATTATATACCTTTAAATATAACAAAAAGTTTGAAATTAAAAAAAAATAATATAATCTAAATCATACTCTTCTTTTTTGGTAAAAAAAATCATATTTTTCTTTTAATTAAACAAATTATAGAGATGAAAATTCAATTCTTTGTCGAGAATACATGTCTTAACCAGCTGAAATACATTGACGGTGACAATTAAACTCAAACTCAAATACAATATAGAACAATAAAACAAATAATAAGAGTGAAAGTTCTCTCTAGTATTTAAATAAAAAAATATCCAAATTTAAATCATGAGTTTGTGACAACCCATAGAACAGTTAAAAACAACAAAATTACCCCCACAAATGTTCCAACCAAACCAAAGCCATCAAAAACCATCTTCAAATTCCCACTTTTTTTTCTCACTTACCCAACTAAAGTTCAACTCCTAAATCAAACCTTTAAATAATAAAATTCAATTAATAAATTAACCATAACACTTTAAATTTTTTTTTTTTAAAAAAGGCCTAATGTCTAAACAAAATCAGAAATAAATTAAGTCCAAATTTAAAATAGAGAAAAAAATTTTAATCCAAACCTCAAAAACGCCGTGAAGTTGGTGTGTGGAGTAGTTATAGAGAAAAAGCGGCAATCCCGGCGTTATTGCCCGCACCGAATCCCGGTACCGCGGCGGCAGACCAAACAACTGCCGCTTCAAATTCTCCGCCATCGT